CTTCCAGAGGTCCCTGCTTCTGCTATGCTCTCCTTTGATTTACAGTAAACTTTCTTCTCCACCATACATGGCAGCAGTCATGTCCTTTCCTTTAACTGAAATATCTATGTAGCCAGGATTCTTATGTTTTTTGCATTATTTAGAAATGGTTAAATGAGGTGAGTTTTTCTGTCTGCTCATCAAATCTATTGAAATCTTTTATTTACTCTTCTATACAATAGTGGTATTATTAAAATTATAGGCACCTCTATTCCGACTTCTGTGATACTGTTTAGAAATATAGAAATATTGATCTGTGTTTCTATTTCTGCATTCCAGCCCTTCTGAAACTCTATTTAAAGATCCTTTGGACTTACCGTGCAATATAATAGTATCATGGAATATGGAAGAAGTCAAGTGTACTTGTTTGCAAATGACTTTGATTTGGAATTAAAACTGATGATGTGCAGGATAAAGAGGAATATCTATTGACTCAAACTTAACAACTACTATTATGTATCTCTTGAAGAGCCGCTTACTAGTTCATATGTAAACAGACTTATTAGAATAAACTCATTTCTTTTCTGTAACTAATGGAGGTTGAGTTATACTAAAATTTCTTCTTATACTTTGCAAGCACTTTTAAAATTTAAGTACTTTTGTTTTTATGGAGTGTCCTTTCAAACAAACATATAGATGCGATTAACAAAACTATCTTTAAATAGTTCGTATTAAATATTCACATTTCCACGTTCATATTAAGTTTTATGACTATTAAATACTGCATCTCTGCTACTCCATTTTCAAATCTAGAAATAAGACAATATATTCAGGCCAGGTGTGGTAGCATGCCTTTAGTCTCAGAACTAAGGAACACAGGGAAGTAGATCTCTATGAGTTCATTGTTGGCCTAGTCGACACAGTGATTCCCAGGATAACCAATGCTACATAGAGAAAGTTTGTCTCCCCCTTCAAAAAAAAAGCTTTGTTATGAGCCTCAGCATCTCCTTTGATACCAGGGTTTTCTTCCTCTTTCGATATCCATCCCATTTGCCTTTCTGAGTGAGGATGGATCATTTTATCCAGGGTCCTCCTTCTCGCTTAGCTTCTTTAGGTGTATAGATTTTAGTATGTTTATCCTATATTATATGTCTAATATTCACTTATAAGTGAGTATGTACCATGTGTGTCTTTCTGTTTCTGGGATACCTCACTCAAGATGATCTTCTCTATATCCCACCATTTGCCTGCAAATTTCATGATTTCCTTATTTTTAATTGCTGAGTAGTATTCCATTGTGTAAATGTACAATTTCTTTATCCATTCCTCAGTTGATGAACATCTGTGTCATTTCCAGGTTCTGGCTATTATGGATAAAGCTGCTAAGAACATGGTTGAGCAGCTGTCCTTGTTGTATAGTTGAGCATATTTTGGATATATGCCTAGGAGTGCTATAGTTGGATCTTGAGGAAGCAATTAATTGTCTGAGAAAGTGCTAGATTAATTTCCAGATTGGTTGTACAAGTTTACATTTCCCACCAGCAATGGAGGAGGTTTCCCCTTTCTCCACATCCTCTCCAGCATGTGTTGTCACTTGAGTTTTTGATCTTAGACATTCTGGTGGGTGTAAGGAGAAATATCAGGGTCGTTTTGATTTGCATTTTCTCTAGTGACTAAGGATGTTGAACATTTTTTTAAGTTTCTCTCCCATTTGATATTCCAATCTTTGGGCAGAGGTCAGGGAACCTTATGGAAGAAAGGGGAGATAGAAAGACCTATAGGAGATAGGAGCTCCACAAGGAGAGCAACAGAACCAAAATATCCAGGCACAACCGTCTTTTCTTAGACTGATACTCCAACCATGCATGGAGATAACCTAGAACCCCTACACCGATGTAGCCCATGACATCTCAGTATCCAAATGGGTACCCTAGTAAGGGGAACAGGGACTGTCTCTGACATGAACTCAGTGGCTAGGTCTTTGATCACTTCCCCCCTTAGAGGGAAATTTGCAGACACCATAAATATTAATTTGTTTTTAGTCAACAATGTCTACATCCTTGGCACATGATAATAGAAAGATATTCAAATAGGATTTGAAAAATTGTGTCTCGTATTAGAAAAACATCAGACTATTTAATGCCATGTATTTTTCGGTTTTCACTAGGTATTAATGCTGACCTTTGAAATATAAAGAGAATCAATGGACATATTCTTGAGCTCTACAAAACTAATTGGTAACATAACTACTGCTCAGGTGATAACTAACATCATTAAGGGTAATTTTGATAAAATATATAACATCAATTTCTAAGAAATATTGTCTAATGCAATTATTTTGAATAAGTATAGCCTCATACCAAAATAATTCCGTCAACTTACTGCCCTCAACTCAGACAACAGAATTAGGTAAATAAAGTGAGTACCATAAAAATATATCTAGGCAGGAGCTAACATAGCTCCACTTAGCAGTTTGAAAACAAATGAAATGTAGTTTATTTTTTATTGCTATCAGATGGTAACAAATGAAGTAATTTCCTGTTGGGGACAGAACTACTCAAAAAAGGTGTGTGGTATTCCATTGTGTACAAATACCACAATTTCTGTATCCATTCCTCTGATGATGGACATCTGGATTGTTTCCAGGTTCTGGCTATTACAAATAAAGCTGCTACAAATATGGTTGAGCAAATGTCCTTGTTGTGTACTTGAGCAAATTTTGGGTATATACCTAGCAGTGGTATAGCTGGGTCTTGAGGAAGCGTTATTCCTAATTGTCTGAGAAAGCGCCAGATTGACTTCCAAAGTGGTTGTACCAGTTTATATTCCCACCAGCAATGGAGGAGGGTTCCCCTTTCTCCACAACCTCTCCAGCATGTGTTGTCAGTTGAGTTTTTTATCTTGGCCATTCTGATGGGTGTAAGGTGAAATCTCAGGGTCGTTTTGATTTGCATTTCCCTAATGGTTAATGAGGTTGAGCATTTCTTTAAGTGTTTCTCTGCCGTTTGATATATACTACTCAGCAATCAAAAATGAGGAAATCATGAAATTTGCAGGCAAATGGTGGGATCTAGAAAAGATCATTCTGAGTGAAGTATCCCAGAAGGAGAAAGACAAACATGATATATACTCACTTATATAGACCTACAAGATATGATAAACATAATGAAATCTATACACCTAAAGGAGATAAACAAGAAAGCAGACACGAGGTAAGATGATCAATCTTCACTTAGAAAGACAAATGAGATGTGCATTGGACGCATGACAGGAGTCTACCGCAGAAGGCATCTGAAAGACCCTACCAAGCAGCGTAGAAACTGTTTCTCCAACCAAGGACCATGTATGGATATAACTTAGAACCTTTGCTTGGACGAAGCTCGTGGTAGCTCAATAACCAATTGGTTTCCCATAGTAAGGGGAACAGGGACTATCCCTGACAGGAACTCAATGGAAGGCTCTTTGACTCCCCACCCCTCAAGGGAGGAGCATTTCTGCTAGGCCACAGAGGAGGACTGATAAAACAGATTCCTGATAAAACAGGGCCAGACGAAAAGGGAGGAGGTCCTCCCCATTCTGTGGACTTGGAAAGGGGCAGGGAGAAGCTGAGGAAGGGAGGGTGGGATTGGGAGGGAATAAGGGAGCGGGATACAGCTGGGATACAGAGTTAATAAAATGTAACTAATAATAACAAACAATAAAAAAATGTGAAGGCAAATAAAAAAGGTGTGTGTTTTTTGTTTCTGTTTTTGTTTTTGTTTTGTTTTTTTTTTGTTTTGTTTTGTTTCAGCTAATAGTCAAGTTTTTCAAAAAGGGTGTGTGATACGTGACATTCTTAAGAGTAGAAAAGAAGTTTCTATATCATTGAGCAATCACAATTTCTCATCTCTAGAGAGAATTTCATTAAAAACTATGGCTTACTCCTAATGGTTACTATGGTATACATTACACACTTATTTTTCTGGGTTGGGGTAGTCAGATATTTAACCAAACATTAAGGGTATTTCTGTGATAACTGTGTTTGGATAACATCATTTGAAATCAATAGAATGAGGAAAACACTGGTCCCTCTCACTATGCCTACACACTCTGACAGGACTTTATCTACCCAATATTAGACGTAATAAAAGAGGGCTGGACAAAAGGAGGGAACTCTGAATTAATACATAACACATGCCATTAATCTTACTCATTTTTTTTTGGAGGTAGACTACACATTGTCATTTCTTAGTACTCCGGTCCTGACCACAGCCAGCTTTCAGGGCTCACAGGTTTGTACTGGGAGCAGAATACGGATGGGCAACCCTTGTTTTCTGGCTTTTCAAATGCAAGATCTGTTAGTGCGCACCCTCCTTTATCATATGAGTTAGGAACCCTTGGTAGACTTCACATATACATCCATCTCATGTCAACATGTGTAATTTATGTGCATTCCATATTACACATAGGCACATTATATTAAATTTTTATTATTTCTCTAGAATTCATTACTAATATGCATTTAGCTATATGCACAGGAAATCAGTCAAGTTGTGGCAGTCAGTGAAATATGTGGGTAATTAAAACTGAGTACTTGTAGAAGCTAAAGATTTAGAATCTAGTGTCAATGTAGCTGATAAGATCCTGGGGTGTCAGATATATTGAAAATGATACCTCATTTTAAACCCTAAGCTCTACAGTTATATATTATAAGATAGCTTATATGAATTTTCAAAATCATTTTAAAGTAATAAAAAGCCTTATGTACATGTTTCTTGATATCCCTAGCCATTTAAGAAATCCCGTGTTTGCTTATCATGATTTTGACAATGTGAAGCATACATCTCTAGACATTTTCATTCCAGCTCTTATCAGGAATCGGCACACACTGTAGCTAACTCTCCATTTTTCTTTCTGGTCTTCACGATGTTCTGTGAGAGTTAAGCTCTTCTGGTACACAGAATCAAATTCTAACACAGAAGTCCTTATACACCAAAAGAATGGAGCTAAATTTTTGACATGAATTGTTTGTTGCCACTTACCTGCCCAGAAGCAGAAACTCTCCTGCTAGACCCAAGCGCCTCATGGCCATCAGCAGGCCTCGCACTGTCATTCCTTCGCAGAAACAGGCCACCACCCTGGCCTTAGGCAAGTGACTTCTGAGCTTCTTCAGCAGCTTGTCAAAGCTCTGCTCCCCAGCATTGCTGTAGATTTTGTAAGAGTGGGCGATGCAAATCCCTTCCTTGGCTGACATATCTTTGAAAGCCTCCATCCCACTTTCTCCATAGTTGCCTGTATGAGAATTAACAGACAAAGAGAGATATTGAAATAAGAGAATTGCATTAATTAGGTACAATAGGAATCTTTTAACTGAGATGTAGAACATACTGTTTCAGTACATGATTATGTTATGCAGTATTCAAATTGTTATGTCTTTCTGTTTCCTTAAATTTATAGATTTTCCTTTTCTGTTGAAAAATTCAACACTCTTTTCTTCTAGCCTTCGAAATGTGCAGTTCATCTTATCTTCTAACCAGACTAACTATGAAAATACAAATTAAACAGCCTTGCTCCTTTTCTTCCTTTCCCTACTCATCTCAGCCTCTGGTTGCTCCCCTTTGCCCTTCTACTCCCAATTTCTATAAAGAGAACTTTTCTAGATATCTCTTATCATTGAGATCATGTGGTATTTACATTTCAGTACTCAACTGTAATTCACATAATACAATGATTCCTATATCCATACCTGTTGTCACAATAACAGATTCCTTTCCTTCCTAGGGCTTAAGAGTATTTCACTGTGTATAGAAACCAAGTGTTCATCAATGAACACTTAAGATGTTTCCATTTACTGACAGTGTCTGGCAATTTTTTCTTCAGTATGCCAACTTTTCTTCTGTTTATATATACCCATACCTTCGTATAATGTATTAGAAAACATTCATCTGCCGTTTTTATTGCATGCTATCTATTTTCCCCTTTGGGTCTCATCGTTTGATAAGCTCTTACCACAGTGATGGTTCGAATACAGTTTATCCTTCAAGGAACCTGTGCTGGGATTTGGGTCTGCAGTGTGCTCATGTTGATATGGTGGAAATTTTAATTGGTCTAGGAGTAAGAACATCACAATTCCTTTTCAGGTGGCTGCTGCTTGTCAGTGGGTAAGGTATGCCAGGATAGACTAGTTTCCACTGCTTATAGACTAGCTGGGGAAAGTTTGATTTTTACACAGCATCTTGCTTCTTTGCTTGTATATAAATGATTTTCTGTCTTACCCCATAGTTTAATAAAAAAAGCCAAACATTATCGCTGTGCTATTTAGACTTATTACCTACCCAGAGCACTAGAACTATTTTTCAACACATTATCTAACATTATTTATTCTGTTCTGGCAACGCAAAATATATAAGACAATTTTCATTTTTTGCCAAATTACATACATGTAGCTTATTCATAGTATACATATGCATGTATATTTATATACTTAATGTATGCACACAAATATAGATACCATATATACTGTAAATTATATAGGTGTCATAGAAATATCAGAGCATTATTTTACATAAAATGTCATATGTTAATAATCATGAAATTATTACTTGGTATTCTAAAATGCAAAATGTCCACCATATTCTCAACTGAGATTTAGCTTTGCAAAAAGAGAAAATGAATATGTTTATGAAAAGCATTTAATTTTTATCATATAGAAAATCAAAGAACAGGTAATGAGACTGATAATTCTAAAGTCCATTACAATTTTTGGAGGTAAATGTAGGATCATTCTTTTCTTCTTCTTTTGCTTATTTTTGAGATATTTTTCATTTACAACATTTCTTCCTTACAATTTTTCTCTCCACATCCTCCTATAACCTTTCTTCAAATTTATGACATTTTTACCATCAATAGTTACTGCATGCATATATATTTGTATATATCTATATATTCCAAAATATAACCTGTTGAGGGACAGGGCCACCTCTTCTGCCCCCAGTTTTTCTCAGTTTCTTGTAGTTCTTTGAGTAGGGTTGAGGCATTGTGGGGTTTTTTTCCCCATGGCATTTGGCATCTTTTAAGGTCAATGAAAAATGGAGATTAAGATTGATAGTCATATGTGAAAGGAATCACACCAAGGCTTTTATGTAAGCTATCCCATTGAATTCCCATAATAATATTTTTAGGTAAGTATTATTATTCTTATATTCCATAGACAACATAGTCAATGCCTTTAAATCTCAGAGTTATAAATATAAGTAGTACATAAAATTGTGCTCTATGTAGATTCAGAAGTGAAGAATTCTCTCTTTTCTTCCACAATTGACTGCTTAGAACCTCAAAAATAAAATTAAATGGGCCTGGTAGATAGCTATGGAGAATGTAGAAGTATTATTACAAGACAGCTTATTTGTAGAATATGAAAGCATAAACAAGCTTAAGCTCAGGTAGGTGTAGGAGGCAGTGTCTTATCTTGAACAGCAAATATCATATGAAAGAGAACTATGAGACATCCAATTGTGGAGCCCTGGAATTACACAGATATAATAGTCAGCAAACGAATAAGTGGATAAGTCTTGGCTGCAGCATGGATCTAATTTCTGCTGCCTGTTTGCTCTACCATCACAAAAGTACCCTGTTCAGGTTAGCTGTTCGGATTTTCAGGATGGAATTCTATTTACTCAGAACATATAGTAGAAAAATGCTATCTTGACTCCCAGCCCAAACACAATGAGAAAACTATAAGGATTTCTGTTTTCCTTAGAATTAGAAGGAACAAGAAAGCTTTGTTATGGTGGCAGGTAGGCAATCTAGTTATTTTGTAATTAACAAAGTTTAAAGGGTACTTTCTGGAAATGTGCCAAGAGGCCTAAATTATTGGCTTTACACTAATCTGAGTAATTTACTATTCTTTTTCTTTTTAGACAAATTTGCTTCTCAGCTATTTTTCTTGCAATGCTTTGATTTATCATGGAGTCAGTCACACAAATAGCATAAAATTAGGTGAACTGATTGTGATATAAATAAGAGCCAATCATTCATGATTAAGCAATAAAACATATCAGAAAAAATGTATTATCTTTAACCCAGTGCCCAACAATTTTGTTTTACACTGTCTTTACTTAATATTTAACATGTTATATAGAACAAATTGGATTAGAAAAAAGATATTTGTGTTGAAGAAATTTAATTTTAACTTCAGTTTGGTAAATATAATCTCTTCAGCTTTTTCTTGGAATAAAATCAACACACTTAAATGTTTTCACTGTGTGTCTGTATATATGGGTACATATTCATATGATATATAAACATATATTTTATATATATATGTATATATATATATATATATATATATATATATATATATATATAAAACACATGTAGAATATGTATTAATTAGTTTAGACCCAATCAATTTCACCTGTTGGAGGTAGTGAAGAGAATCCTAGATTCTTTCACTGCTCACTACCAGAACACCACCTCCCAAACAAAAACCATGGAGAATAATAGCAATATTCATGAGTGTTAGACAAAATATTAAGCTTAAAGCAGAAGAAGAAAACTGATTTCTCGGAGGCACGCCAAAAACCCTGTTATATGAAAGATAGAGACGGCTTTGGCAAAACCTTTCTACCTTCTACTCTGTTTTGTCTCAAACTTACAATCACTCTAAAAGAGTTTAAATATATATTTGACATATTTGTTGATAATAATAACTTGACTATGTGTCTCAGCATCTGCTTCAATACAATATGCCATAGGCTCCGTTCCTGTTCTGTCTTCTCCCACTTCCAATGTCTATCCTATTTACTGAGTTGGGCAGGGTACAGGGAATCTTACAGAGGAAAAGGGAGATAAAAAGACCCGGTGGGGATGGGAGTTCCACAAGGAGACCAACAAAGCAAAATAATCAGGGCCCAGAGGGTCTGCAGATACTGATGAATCAAGTAAGGACCATGCATGGCGATGACCTAGATCCCCTGCTCAAGGACAGCTCAGTCTCCATGGGGGTTTACTAATAAGGGGAGCAGGGACTGTCTCTGACAAGAACTCAGTGGCTGGATCTTTGATCACCTCACGCTGTGGGGTGCAGCCTTGCCAGGCCACAGAGGAAGACAATGCAGCCAGTCCAGTCCTGATAGGACCTGATAGGCTAGGGTCAGATGGAAGGGGAGAAGGACCTCCCTTATCAGTGGACTGGGGGAGGGGCATAGGGGTAGAAGAGGGAGCAAGGGGAGGGAAAGGGAGGGGGCTGCAGCAGGGAAACAAAGAGAATAAATTTTAATAAGTAATAATAATAAATGATCACTTTTAAAATAGCTCTGATTCATTTTTTTAATTCAGCATATTTTAATACTTTATAAAGAAGATATGAAACTGGTTAAATAGCTCCAGGGGTAAAGGTAATAATACTGAAGACCTGTGGTTGATCTCCAGCGTGCACATTACAGTAGGGGAGAACAGACTCCTGAAAGTTGTCCTTTGACAGTGCTCATGCACACTCTAGCACGTGTGTGCACAGGTGTCCACACTGGCTTCCTCATAGATGTGTAAATATAAATGAATTAGTGTAAGATTAAAAGAAACGTGAGCATTTGCATTTGAAAGAAAGTTTAAAGTGTATATGTGCCCAGCAGTGGTTATAAACTCTATTCTGTAGTATTTGGAAACAATGGGACTGTAAGGAAAATGTCTGAAAAATCGTTGTGTTAGATTATGTTACTTGAAATAGATTTTAAATAACATATAGAAGGAATAAAAAAAAAACTTAGAAAACAGGCACCGTTCCAATATGAAATCCAGTAATTAAGAAAAATATCTATCATGTAACAGGAACCTAAGAGGTAGCTTTATTTCTGTAACAATGAATCTACAGAAAAATATTTTGCAGGTGGCACAGGAGTTATGAAAATGATTTTTTATTTTTATGAAATAATGTATACTACACACTAAACAAGGAATCAAGCCCAGGAAACATTGTATCGCTGTTGAACCTGTGGTGGATATCAAAATCAACAAGTTTGAATTTTTGTTTGGTTTGGTTTTGGTTTTAAAGGCAGGGTTTCCCTGTGTAGCCTTGGCTGTCCAGGCCTTGCTTTGTAGACCAGGCTGGTCTCAAACTCAGAGCAATCTGTTTTCCTCTGCCTTCCTGAGTGCTGGGATTAAAAGTGTGTGCCACCATGCCTGGCTGCATGACATTTTCTTTTAATCTTAACTTTTGTTCCAATATTTGTAGTTTTTATATTTTCTCCTACGCAAAGGTACTATATTTCGAGTAATTGAGGGACACTTCTGGC